TACAGGGACATACAGGGACATATAGGGACATATGGGGACATATAGGGACCCTATGGATCCCATGGGGGTCACACAGATCCTATAGGGACCATACAGATCCCATAGGGGCCATGGGGACCTGTGGGGACCTACAGGGACCCTATAGATCCCATGGGGGACATAGAGATCCTATAGGGACAATACAGATCCCATAGGGACCGTGGGGACCTACAGGGACCCTACAGATCCCATAGGGGCCATGGGGACCTGTGGGGACATATAGGGACCGTATGGATCCCATGGGGGCCTACAGGGACCGTATGGATCCCATAGGGGACACATAGATCCTATAGGGACCGTATAGATCCCATAGGGGCCATGGGGACCTACAGGGACTGTATGGATCCCATAGGGGACATACAGATCCCTGTAGGGGCCGTATAGATCCCATAGGGGCCATAGGGCTCTATAGGGACCATGGGGACCTACAGGGACCGTATAGATCCCTGTGGGGCCATACAGATCCCATGGGGGCCATGGGGCTCTATGGGGGCCATACAGATCCCATAGGGGACCATATATAATCCCTAGGGGAGCCATATAGATCCCTATAGGGGCCATATAGATCCCTACGGGGGCCATGGGGACCTGTGGGACCCCTATAGACCCCATAGGGGCCATACAGACCCCAGGTCCCTATAGGGCCCACACAGAGCCCCATAAGGGCCTATAGGGTCCCTATAAATCCCTATAGGGGCTGTACAGACCCCAGGCCCCTACAGGGTCCGTATAGACCCCCACAGGGGCCATACACACCCCAGGCCCCTATGGGGTCTGTATATACTCCTATAGGGGCCATACAGGTCCCCAGGCCCCTATAGGGTCCATACAGACCCCTAAAGGGTCCATACACACCCCAGGTCCCTCTGGGGGTCTCCAGGCCCCCCCGGGGGTCCCTATGGGGTCCATACAGACCCCAGCCCCCCATAGGGTCCCTATGGGGTCCATGCAGACCCCAGCCCCCCCGGGGGTCCCCAGGCCCCTCTGGGGGTCCCTATGGGGTCCATACGGACCCCAGCCCCCCCGGGGGTCCCCGGGCCCCTATAGGGTCCCTATGGGGTCCATACGGACCCCAGCCCCCCCGGGGGTCCCCGGGCCCCTATAGGGTCCCTATGGGGTCCATACGGACCCCAGCCCCCCCGGGGGTCCCCGGGCCCCTATAGGGTCCCTATGGGGTCCATACGGACCCCAGCCCCCCCGGGGGTCCCCGGGCCCCTATAGGGTCCCTATGGGGTCCATACGGACCCCAGCCCCCCCGGGGGTCCCCGGGCCCCTATAGGGTCCCTATGGGGTCCATACGGACCCCAGCCCCCCCGGGGGGTCCCCAGGCCCCTCTGGGGGTCCCTATGGGGTCCATACGGACCCCAGCCCCCCCGGGGGGTCCCCAGGCCCCTCTGGGGGTCCCTATGGGGTCCATACGGACCCCAGCCCCCCCGGGGGGTCCCTATGGGGTCCATGCAGACCCCAGCCCCCCCGGGGGTCCCCAGGCCCCTCTGGGGGTCCCTATGGGGTCCATACGGACCCCAGCCCCCCCGGGGGGTCCCCAGGCCCCTCTGGGGGTCCCTATGGGGTCCATGCCGACCCCAGGCCCCTCTGGGGGTCCCCAGGCCCCTCTGGGGGTCCCTATAGGATCCATGCAGACCCCAGCCCCCCCGGGGGTCCCCAGGCCCCTCTGGGGGTCCCTATGGGGTCCATACGGACCCCAGCCCCCCCGGGGGTCCCCGGGCCCCTATAGGGTCCCTATGGGGTCCATACGGACCCCAGCCCCCCCGGGGGTCCCCGGGCCCCTATAGGGTCCCTATGGGGTCCATACGGACCCCAGCCCCCCCGGGGGGTCCCCAGGCCCCTCTGGGGGGCCCTATTGGGTCCATGCCGACCCCAGGC